CGCCCCCCGCCCACCACTCCCCCCAACGTATACACACCCTGACAGTTGTATTATGATTCAATTAGGGTTTTATAGTTCAGTGCAATCGAGCTGCTCCGAGTCTTGAGATGCATATTTATCTAATGGGTTTGTGTTGTGGGGCGTTCTTGGGTTTTCTTTCTCTTTTCTCTCTCTCTCTCTTGCTATTTATTTCTCTCTCTCTCTCTCTCTCTTTCTGTCTGTCTCTTTCTATCTGTCTTCTCTCGCTTTTGCTTGGCTTTTGCTCTCGTTCTCTCTAGTACAATACATACATGCAATCAATGCATATATAAAACCCACAAAAAAACAAAGGCAAGAAATCAAACAACACAACAACAACAACAACAGCAACAGCAACAACAACAGCAAACAACAGCAACAACAACAGCACAACAACACAACAGCAAAACAACAGCAACAACACAACAACAACAACACAACACAACAACAGCAATGCAACAACAACAACAACAGCCGCCCCTGTGACTTTCCCCTCAGCACAGCACCAGCGGCAGTCGGGTCAACAAACAAACACTGGCGAACTTTTGCTTCTGGCGACGGATACGGATGCAATCTGATATTGTACACACACTACATATATACAAACAGGCATATGTGTACTTACACGTACATGTAAACGCACACGGACATACAAATAAAACGTATGGATTTTGGAAACACGTTTAAGTTTCACAACAACATATTTAGTATCTTTTTTTAAAGATAAGCAACAGAGGGAAAATTTAAAAGTGGGAGAGAGAGAGAGAGAGAGGAGAGAGAGAGAGAGAGAGAGAGAGAGAGAGAGAGAGAGAGAGAGAGAGAGAGAGAGAGAGAGAGAGAAGAGAGAAGAGAGAGAGAGAAGAGAGAAGAGAGAGAAAGAAGAGAGAAGAGAGAGAGAGAAGAGAGAGAGAGAAGAGAGATCGAGAAAATCGACATCGATCGACATCCCGACAAACAGAGAGAGAGAGACAAACACTACAAAACAGACACAAACAAAAATAGACCATAAAAAAGGGGGTCGCAAGAAGCAAGGTTCCTTCTGAGAAGCGCCTAGACACAGCAAGGCAGTAAACGCGCTCCCTCGGTCGGCTTTTTCTGGAGGTAAACTCTGCGTCCTGGTCAGTCTCTGGGTGACACCCGACCCCCCTCATTTAAACGCCTGCCAGCCACACCCCTCGTCGCCCCCCTCTGCTCTCTCGCTCTATCCTCCGTCTATTCTGTCTTCCGTCTATCCCTTTTTTGTATCTTCACTCTCTTGTCTCTCTATTCTTCTCCGTCTATCCCTTTTTCTATTTTCACTCTCTTGTCTCTTTATTCTTCTCCGTCCATCCCTTTTTCTATCTTCACTCTCTTGTCTCTTTATGCTTCTCTCTTCTATCGGCTATATCTCCATCTCCTCCTCTCTCCCCCTTCCTCTCTCATCTATTTTCCCTTCTTCTCCCTTCATTCTCTCCTCCCTTGCCTCTTTTCTCACCAATATTCCTTATTCTTCGCATCAAACGTCAACGTCCGATTCTATTTTTTTCTTCTTCATTTATTTATTGATTCTTCGCCATCTTAATCCCTTCTATTTCCTTCGTATCTCAAAAAAAGATAATTGAAGAGAATGCGAGACAGCAAGGATGCAATCAAAGGAAGCAAGAGGAAGCCAATCAGAGAAGCAAGACGGCGTAAACATGGAAGAGAGGAAGCAGGCAAGGAGGAAGACAAGAAAGGAAGGTAAACAACGAAAAAAGAAGAATCAATCATACAAGGAAGGCGGCGAGGAAACAAGGAAGGAAAGAATGTGATAAAAAAACAGCGCATCGCCCTAAAAAAACAGAACAGGGAGAAAGCCAGGAAACAAAGCAAGGTACTAAGGCAAGCGACGCCCACTCCACAAGCAAGGCGGCAGGCGAGCGGGCGCAGGAGGAGGCCGCCCGCGTCCGCCAGGCGTGAGGGCCGCTTCCCCGCCATGGCGCCTTCCATCTTGAAGAAGGAAAATAAACCCTCACGCGGAGAGAATGCGGATATTTCGAGCGTAAAACCACTCCTGTGATTCAGAAAAGGATGGATCAAGAAACGTCGACGCCCACGCTCACGCCGCCGCCCACATCTCACGCCCGCTGCTACTACTACTGTCTTGTCTCTAAGAGCCCTCCCCCCCCTCAGGCCCAACCCCCTGCGACGACGGGCGATTGGCCAATGCAACTTCCCGCCGAGGCCGCGATTGGGCGGCGCGTGAAGTGGCCGCCTTAAGTGGTCGTTGGTTCATTAGGAGGCACGACCGACGACGCGAGTGCCGCCGTCTGTTCTCGCGGAGGAAAAGTACTCGCGGCGGTTGCGTCACGCCCGGGATCGCCGAGTCGAACCGCCGACGCCGCCCGTGTCGACCGACGTTCCGCTGCCTCGTTCCTCCATTGTCCTCAGTTCTCATTGTCCTCAGTTCCTCCATTGTTCCTCCATTGTCCTCAGTTCTTCTCCTGTTCCTCCATTGTTCTTCTCATTGGTTCATAATTGTCCTCCTTTAACTGTTCAAAGTTAACTGTCCTCAATTCTTCTCCCTCTTGGATTAAGTTCGAAAAGATTTCATCTGCAGACTGCAACTGCTACGAGAGGGACGGACTGAGGGCAGTTTCCATTCTCTTCTCTTCACGCTGCCTTTCGTCCTTCACATCGGTTTATCTCCCTCCCCCACTCTCGCTTTCGTTATCCCTCCGTCTCCCCATTTCACTCTCGTTTCGTTTCTATTTTATTCTTGTTGATTTATCTGGTGTCACACTTTGCTCACAATGGTACGCAAACACGCCTCGGAGACTGTTCGAAACATGCTTCGTAATGTTATCCTCAAAGCGAAGAAAGTGGTCCATTGAAGTGCTTCGAAACGCCCATTGTTCGAATCACTCCCTCTCTTGTGCGAATAATGCGCGGGTCTCCCCATTATTCTCTCTTGTGCAAATAATGTACGGGTTTGTAGCGGATTCCCAGATGCATAAATTTCGGCCTCCTTGTCAGCGATTTGTGTCCGTCTTTTCAAGTCTTCCATTCCTGTCGCGGGAGAACGGGGCGGGTTTGGAAAGCGAGTTTGTCTAAGTCCTTGTTGGATGATGTGGCGGGCGATTTAAAGAGGTGGAAAGGAGGGAGAGAGAGAGAGAGAGAGAGAGAGAGAGAGAGAGAGAGAGAGAGAGAGAGAGAGAGAGAGAGAGAGAGAGAGAGAGAGAGAGAGAGAGAGAGAGAGAGAGAGAGAGAGAGAGAGAGAGAGAGAGAGGCCAATAAATCGTTCTATATATAACAAAACTCCGTTATGGGACGAGGTCTGTTACAAAACACGCACACACGAGAGAGTAAGACTTCACATATATTTGATTTAGTGCATCCGCATGTGGTGGCCCAGTCTCCCTGTCGCCCGCCCGTGTTAGTACCCTCCCTTTCTCCTCCCTCCCTCTCTTTCCATTCTCCTCAACCCTCCACGGCTCTACCCCTCCCTCCTCTCCCTTACATAATGTTCCTTTCCCTCTCCTCCCTCCCTCCCTCCTTAGAATAACCCCCTCTCACTCTCCCCCATCGTGAGTACCCTCTCTCCCTTCTTCCCCTTCCCTCACCCCTCCTCACTCCTCCTCTCCCTCCCTTATCCCTCCTTCCCCTTCTCTCACCCCTCCCTCCTCCCTCCCTCCCACCATCCCTCACCCCTCCTCCCCCCTCCCTCCCCTCCCTCCCTCCAGAGTACAATTTCGACAGCAGCAACAACCTTCCCTTCGCACTCACTTACCTTGATGTCACATAAAAGCTAAACTGATCTCCCTCACATCACTCTCAATTGAAAGAGATTGCATGACGGCGATGCAATATTATAAGTTTAGTTGGCAGGTCAGAATGAAGACCTGTACCCCCCGCCTCTCTCTCTCTCTCTTTATCCCTCCCTCTCCCTTCTCTCTTTTCTTTTCTTCGCTTCTCTTCCTTCTTTCTCTCTAGATATTTGCTCTCTTTTCACTTTTCTCTCTCTCTCTCTCTAAAATATTAAAAAGGAGTAAAGAGAACAAGAGTCAAAACTAGCGAAAAGAGAGCGAAGAACGAGACAAAAGCTAGCGAAAAAGGAACCGAAGTCAGCGAAAAAGAGACAAAAACCAGCGAAAAAGCGCGAAAGTGCAAAAAGAGAGAGAGCGGGGAAAGGAGAGCTCCCGACCCAGGTGATCCGCAGCAGGGACGCCAGTCGACCCCCAGGCGTCACTGCGACCAGACATACACGCCCGCCTGCGCCCATCTCATGTGTCCTCGTACATAATGCTCCCCGGGACCCGTTATGACCCCAATGAATTATGTTGACGGATGTGAATAACTTTTTCTTTTACGTTCGGACCCCAATGTTATGAAAATGTTTAAGTTCGGATCCCGATGGTACGAATAATATTTACGTTCGGATCCCCAATGCTACTAATAACGTCGAATGTGAATATTTTTTTTTTTACATTCTGATCCCTCTCATATGCATAATGTTGACGCATGTGAATATTTTTTGACGTTCTGACCCCTTAGGATATAAAAAACCGTTGGAAATTGTAAATAACTTTTACACCGATCCCCAATAAAATTAATAAAGTTGTAGGTTGTGAATAATTTTAACGGATAACTCAAAACTATTATGTTTCGAGGCATATTAAAGGAATTATTCTGGAAACTGTTTGCGTAGCCAGTATTTTTTAAAATAGAAGACGAAGATCAAGAGGAAGAAACAAATAGACGAATAAATGATAGAAGTAGATGACAAAAACGAGAAATACAGAACAAAACAAAAATCCCAAAGTCGACGACATTTGTAACACCAAAAGAAACCTCACCAAATCGAACGAAAAAACTGGATAAAACACCTATATAAAGTATGGAAATGTAATTTTTTAACCTCACCAAATCGAAGAAAAATAGATTCAACAAAAATTTTATAAAATACGGCAAATCGAAAAAAATAGTTAAAAAATCTATATAAAATACGGCAATGTATTTTTTTAAAGAATTATAACAACTACAACCAAAGGGGCTTACTTACCGGGTCCGTGGGTGGAATAAGACCCGTAGTCGTGGGTCCCGCCCGTCTCCTGGGACTCCACCAGGCACTGACTGTCTTCACTGGGGGCGGCATCTACAAGCAGGAGGAGGAGGAGGAGGAGGGGGAAGGGGGGGAGGAGGAAGGAAGGGGTGGAGGGTGGAGGAGGAAGGTGGAGGGGGAAGGGGGAGGAAGAAGAAAAGGGTAGAAGAGGGTGGTGGAGGAAGAGTAGGAGGAGGAGGTGGTGGTGGAAGGGGGAGATAGAAGTGGAGGAGAAGGTAGTGGAGGTGGAGGTAGATACGAAGGTGGAGGAAGAGGAGAAGGGAAAAGGGAAGAAGGCATAGAATAAAAAAAAAAAAAATAGCGAAAGATTTAGAGAGAGAAGCGGTGAGACAGGAAGGGAGGGAGAAAGAAAAGGGAGAAGGAGAGAGAGAGAAAATGTGTATTAATTCCTGCTTAAACATAATGGATCAAGATTTACTTTCATATCTTATTCGTATAAAATGGCGACGCTGAACGATAACAAATTAAGATGATAGTTATATTTATCACGATAATAAAGATAACAGTATCTGTGACACTAAAAAAATAATCTACAACGACATAAGATGGTTTTCTCGGTAAGATAAAGATAAAAACAGGTAAAAAAAAAGATGGAATTTAAGATGAAATTCTGATAAAACTAAAATAAAAACTAAGGGGAAATTAGCTGAGATTAAATGACATTATTAAACAAACTCGAAGACAAGAATTAATAGTAAAATGAAAAACTCAAAAACATTAAGGTAAACAAATCCTAAAGGTAAAATAAAAATCCCAAGGTTTAAAAATATTTAAACCTTCCAAAAAGGAAAGTAAAAAATAAATAATAAGCAAAAATACTTAGGTTAAATGCCAAGGTAAAATCCTACGGTAGAATCCTGCGATAAAATACCAAGGTAAGGTCCTAAGGCAAAATCCTAAGGTAAATTTCAAAGATAAAATACCAAGGTAAATTCCTAAGGCAAAATCCTAAGGTAAACTGCAAAGGCAAAATCCTAACGTAAATCCCAAAGGTAAAATCCTAAGGTAAAATCCCAATATAAAATTCCTAAGGCAAAATCCTAAGGTAAAATTCTGAGACTCTTACCTTCTGGTCTGAGGAGGTCGCGACTGCTAAACCTCCTGTAAGGCGGCGGCGGGGATTCTGAAACGGAGAAAAAGATGTTATTTTATATAATCACGTGACGTTGGTGTTTTTTATGCATTTTTATTATTTTATTTTACTCTGTTGTTGTTGTTGTTGTTGTTGTTGTTGTTTTTTGTGTGTGTGTGTGTGTGTGTGTGTGTGTGTGTGTGTGTGTGTGTGTGTGTGTGTGTGTGTGTGTGTGTGTGTGTGTGTGTGTGTGTGTGTGTGTGTGCGTGTCTGTTTCTGTGTGCACGTTACCATATTCATATGAGTGCATATATTCGTCCATCTATAAACACATCAATAAATATCAATGAACATCAAAATCACCCATATGTCTAAAAATAAGAAAAAAATCTTAACTAGCAGAGTCATCAGCGGTTAAGAACGAAAGTCGAGACTGCCGTTTGACCTAATTAAATTTCCCGCCATCATGCTAACCTCATGGAAACTGACAGACAAGTCGCTAAATCTCCTACCTGCTGCTTCCCTCACGATTTCGAGCGGAAAAGTGCTAAGTCCTAGCGCTGAACTGAATAGACGGAATGATGACATTTCTAAAGATCAGGATGATGTGAAAAATAAATTATATAACACATGCATATGTGAGTGTGTGTGTGTGTGTGTTTGTGTGTGTGTGTGTGTGTGTGTGTGTGTGTGTGTGTGTGTGTGTGTGTGTGTGTGTGTGTGTGTGTGTGTGTGTGTGTGTGTGTGTGTGTGTGTGTGTGTGTGTGTGTGTGTGTGTGTGTGTGTGTGTGTGTGTGTGTGTGTGTGTGTGTGTGTGTGTGTGTTCTTATACTCAAATACACTTACGACATCCTTCAGTGTTAAAAGTACACCACACTTGCAAAGAAAACAAAATAAAATCAAGAAAATTATTTTAAAAAACATTACAAAAACACGAGAAAAGAGAAAATAATATACGCCCAGACAGCGAAAAAAATAACAATAATAATAATCATCATAACGATCCCTTCAATTGTTCCCGCGCTCTCTCCCCGCCCCGTTTGAAATTCCCGCCAAGACCACGGCGGCGACATTTATTAGCGGGGAAAAGTTGGCGCCACCGAGTTCTTAATAATGGCGGGCGTCCGTGAACTGGCTGATCCTCACGTCCTGTCCTCGCCTCTCCTTCTCTTCATATCCTCTTTATCTCGTCCACTTTTTAAACATGTTTAATGTCGTTTCTCATACACGTTCTGCCTTTCACTTCTTTCCTAACTTTCTGTATCTTTTTCTCTCTACCTCTTCCTGCTTCTTTCCTCCTCCTCTTTATTCCCCACCCCTCATTTCTCAAACTTTTGTAATATTCCTTTCTCTCTCTCTCTCTCTCTCTCTCTCTCTCTCTCTCTCTCTCTCTCTCTCTCTCTCTCTCTCTCTCTCCTCTCTCTCTCTCTCTCTCTCTCTCTCTCTCTCTCTCTCCTCTCCTCTCCTCTCTGCTAACTTTATTTCTCTTCTCTTTACCCCCCCCCCGCGTCCCTCACCTGAAAATCGTTCTCGTCAAGCCACTTTACGCGGGGGGGGGGGGGGGGATGTGGAATGAAGGAATGGAGAGGAAGAGTGAAGGGGGGAAAGTGGGAGGAACGAGGAACGAGAGAGAAAAAATGGATGTGAAAGAGAGAGAGAGAGAGAGAGGAGAAAGAGAGTGAGTAACTAAATGTAGATGGAAGGAGGAGAAAGACACAAAAAGAAAGCAAAGTAAAATAAAGGGATAGTGAAACAAATTATAATGATGAAATGGACGAATGAGGTAAAGGAAGGGAAGGAGCAGGATATGTAAGCATCCCCCCCCCCCCCCCCCCCGGTTAAAAGCCCCCCTCCCCCTCCCCTGCCGCAGTGAGACGACAGTCCTCCAGTTTAACTCATATTTATGGCTGTCTCCGCCACTGCCACGTTTACAGAGTCATTGTTATGACAGAGACGGAGATAAAGAAGAGGCAACAGAGCATAAAGCAAAGCCCGAGAACAAAAGGAGAGAAGGAGAAAGGGAGATGAAGGATCTTTTCGTCTGAGAAAAAAATGGCCCGACGGTTTCCATGAATGGCGGTATCTGGCAACGAGACTACGATGTTTTTTCTCTTGTTAAAAGTAAACAAATCTCTGTAAAACGTATACAAAAATAAAAATTATTGACACCTTAACTGATGCCTTACCTTCAAAAATAATTAACACAAAAAAACAAATAATCTCAACTATTATTTCTACATTTAAAAATCTTCAAGAAATGTAAGAAACTTCAAAACTTAAATCTTTCAATCACCAGTACAAAAAAAAAAAAAAAAAAAAAAGAACACGAAAAATGTATGAAGAAAAAATAAACACAACTAAGAAATGTGACAATAACACAGTTATCCGTCAACCCCTCCCCCTCCCTCCCCCCATGCTGACTAATGTTTGTCACTCGCGCAACAACAAGGACTTATCATTATTATTATTATTATTATTATTATATTATTATTGCTGATGTTGTTATTTTCATCATTATTGTTATTGCTGTTGTTATTTTCATTGTTGTTATTGTCGCTGTTACTCTTAATGTCATTGTAAGCATCATCATGATCATTATCATTATCATGATCATAACTATCATTATCATCATTGTCCTTATCATAGTTATCATTCTTATTCCTCTTTTTTCTAGGTCAATTTATACCTGAAATATTATCATCACAAATTTGCTATTATCACTACGATCATCACAAACAAGCTTCTATCAATACCCTCATTATCATCCTGCGATCATAATTGACCTCATTACCATCATTAAAACCACTAATCATTAATGCCAATTATTACCATAATCATATTACATTATCAATAATACTCCTGCCTTTTAATCACCATTATCTTTATACTCATGACCCTTGTGATCATATGCCTTAATCATCACAATGCCCCCAACCATCAAATTTATCATACCCATGCCCTCTAACCAACACAATCATCTTATTTATGCCCCTTAATCCTAATAATCATTATACTGATGCCCCCTAACCAACACAATCATCACATTTACGCCCCTTTAATCATAATCATCATTATACTCATGCTCCTTAATCACCAATATTATTACCGTAGAGCAATGGCGTCGCCCGCTTGAACTGACCCGGATTTGAGACCTGGACCCGCCGACCTTAGCTATCGACTCCCTAACAGCGATTAATCAGCTTGTAAAACAGAAGGAGAGGGAGGGTGAAGGAGAGAGTGGGAGGGAGGGAGTTGGAGAGAAGGAGGGAGTGTTAGGGGAGACATGGAGAGGGGGAGGGAGATGGGAGAGAAGAGAGGGAAGGAGAGAGAGAGAGAGAGAGAGAGAGAGAGAGAGAGAGAGAGAGAGAGAGAGAGAGAAGAGAGAGAGAGAGAGAGAGAGAGAGAGAGAGAGCACGAAAGAAGAGAGAGAAAAAACGAGGTATCTTGGAAAGGCTGGCGCGTCCTTCCCTACTTAAGAGCAAGGTCATTCGATCTGTCATGTCGCGTACTGCTGACCTCCCGTAACCCGAGTCCTCCTCCCCCCTCTCCCCTCCCCGCTGCCTTCATCCTCTTCCCTTCCCCTCCTCCCCAGCCGACCATCCTTCTCCTCCTACTCCCATCCCCCTTCCTAGCCACCCTCCTCTTCCCTGCTTTCCTTCCTCTTCCCAACCCACTCCCTCTTCCCCTCCTTCCCTCTTCTTCCTCCCTCCCCTAACCGTCATCCCTACCCCTCTACCCTTTATCCCCCTCTTTTCCATACTGTCATTTCCCTCTTTCTTATTTTGTCTTATTCTCTTCCATCATCATCATCTCTCTCTCTCTCTCCTTCCCCCGTTTTCACTCTGTGTAGCTTTTTCGCATTCGTTGAGACATGATATACACTGTTGTTCGTTGCATAAGAGCGTTGAGAGCGTTGGGAGATGAGGGACGGTGGGGGGGGGACGAGGGATGGGGGTGGATCGCCAAAGGAGGAACAACCGTGAAAAGTGGGGAGGAGTAGGAGGAGGAGGGGGGGGGGAGGGAGAAGGAAGAGGTGGGAGGCTGAGTGGTGGAGGAATGGTGGATGGATGTGAGGGAGGAGGAGGAGGAGGAGGTCGACTAGTGGAGAGGTGGCGGGGATTGGAGTGTGGGAGAGAGGGGGGGGCAAGGAGGACTGAAGAGTGGATGGAGAGGGAGGGGGTGGGGGTGTAAGTGCCCTAAGTGTGGGCAGCGACGCCTAAAGTCTGGGCGCAATAAGTTGTCGGGAGACAGAGTAAGCAAAGGGCAGGCAGTGGGCACGGCGGCGCTGCCCCACCAGAGTCTGGCACCTTCGTCACACTTGCCGCACCGCAACAGCCAGCCAACCCGCCGCTCGTGTGTGCCCCTTCGCTTCACACAAACACGACCTCAGCCCTCCTGCCAATTCGAATGCTAACGCCCACACACGCACACGGGCTTACTCACTCTATTTTCCCCCTCTCTAAGGCTATTTACACTACCTACGGGGCTGTGATTGGATTCGCGGAGGGTGGGGGAGGGAGGAGGGGAGGGGGGGAGCGGGCATGCGTCCGTCTAAAGAAGTCGTGAAGGAATACCAATGATATTTACCACTGGGCGTGCGAGGCTCCCGGACCCTGAGCCTCGGCCTCCCGTGAAAGCAGTCTACGCAGTCAAAGATCTCCATGGCGGCGGACTCCAGCCAGCGCCGCCCTCCGCTCCACCGTTTCTTCGTTTTCACAATCACTAATTCAACCTTCCGATAATAATAATGGCACAGGCGCGCCACCGTAGGCCTCGGGCGCAACACTCCTCGCTCACACTGCGCGATAAATATTCTCCGCGGGTTTAAAACCTCCGCGACCACCACGTGTTTGGATGCTGATGTCAGAGCGCGGCCACACGAGTCCGAACGAACATCACACACAGCGCACACTGTTGATCTCTCCCGACTGAGGCGCCACCAGCACCGCACTCCACACACACGTGTTGACAGCCTTCAGCGGAGACGTATAATGAGCACAAGACACAAGTATCCTCGCGCGGGCGGGCACCTCGGGGAGCGCGCATCACAC